CTTTCATGTTTTGCATTGAAAATTGATTTCCTCTATCATTATGATTTTGTTGAATCAGCAATACTTATATATTTTGTTACCCTTTTGTATACACATTTACTTATTTACTTATGAATATCTTACTTATATTTATAAATATCTTATCAATATTTATTATGATTGTAGATAAGTATTTATTTATTTCATTCATTAAGTTAACCCACACCTTTATTCCTAAATCAATTTCTTTTTAGTCCATCCAAAGGTGGCCTGGAAGAAATTACTATTATTAATAAGGCCGCCCATTGTACCCATCACTTCTACATTAAGTTTTAATTTTTGTTTGTTTTATTTTTGGTGTGCTATAAATATTATTCATTCATTCAATATTTTCTAATATTCTTGGAGTCACGTCTCAATCACTATGGCTCCAACTAAGATCAGGAACACCTGTGCGTCGAACTTTTAAAAGCAAACACAAAAAAAAATTACTTCATGTGCCAAAAAGGAGTAAAACCATTTATATAATCATTTTTTCGTGAAATTTAAGCGCTTTTTTTTTATTATGTGAAAAGTTGGTGAGCAGACGGTTCACTTGATGTTAAGTGAATACCGTCGCCCACGGACATCTGTTACACCCGAGGGTTCCAGATGCGTTGACCTTTTGAAAATTGGGGTCCGGCCACCTCACTCACCAGACGCAACGCGAAAGTAATATACTTCCACATTACGCGGGCCTTCTGTGAGGTCGCAGTACTTACCCGGACGAGCCTGCCCATTCGTGCAACAGCCGAGGCTGCTGCGTGGCCCTACCATCGTGAAATGTTTATTATGTATATGCGGCATTGAATATTTGTTTTTTTGTTATTTATCTTTTTCAAACCGAGATCCTGCCTTGATTTTTGCAATGTCTTTATTCTTCGATCTTCATTCAGCATCCAGGAAGCCCACTAACATTTTATAGTCAGTTTCAACTTGAAAAGGGGTGGAGATAAAGGTTAAATGTTAACCATTATCACCACTGATCGTTGTTTCTTTTTTAATTGACTAAAATACATATATCATGTAAATATATATATTTGTCATAAGGCAAAATGATGTACTCTTAAAAATAATATGAGTTTTAGAGAAAAAAATCATTCGTGATGAGATTTTGTTTAAATGGTAATACCATGCAAAGTCAGCTGTGACCATACACACAGAGTAAGTATTGGACAAGGAACAAAGAAATGTCACAGCTGCAAAAATAACGGGTCACATAGAAACCTCTTAATATTTAACAGTTGCTTAAACAGCTCACTCGTCAAGGGTGGTCCACCCCAAACATTTTTTTTCTGCCCTACAAATAAGTTATATGGCAAAACAACGTTTGCCGGGACAGCTAGTATATTATAAGTATTATTAGCAATGAAAGTTCTTTTGTACAAGTACAGCTTAAAAAAGGAAAACTCTGAATTTTAATTAAAAAAAATCTAAATTAACAGCAGAAGATTTTTTTTCTATTATTTATTTATTTATTTTATTTATTTCGCTTTTATCACAGAAGTATGTACACGGATTATTTAGTAGTACTCCGATGTAAGGTTACAACAATATATAGTACAAGAAAGAAGAAATCATATTACTGCTATAACATTATCAGTAATTTTATCTACGGTCCAGCGATTTTGAGAAATGGGCAACAAAATTAGCAGACTAGAAAGCAGTACAAGACGCACAGTTATGCGACAAACACTCATTTCACGGTGGTAGGGCCACGCAGCAGCCTTGAGTGTTGCACGAATGGGCAGGCTCGTCCGCGAAAGTACCATGACGTCACAGAAGACCGACGTAAGGTGGAAGTATAATACTTTCGCGTTACGTCTTATGAGTGAGGTGGCTGGAGCCCAATTTTCAAAAGGTTATCCACACATCTGGAACCGTCGGGTGTAGCAGATGTCCATGGGCGGCGGTATTCACTTAACATTAGGTGAACCGTCTGCTTGCTTGGCAACTTTTCACATAAATAAAAACACGGTGTACTGTGAGTGCTATACTAAGAAATCTATATCTCACAGAAGTCTGAACTTCAATGGTCTGTACAAGTGAATATTTAGTGAAACTGATGTAAAGTTTTAAACGCCAGTAAATGGCCCCATACCTCAGAGAACATCAATATGCTAGGCTACGGTTTGCTAGAGAGCACGTCCAATGGACAGCTGAAGATGGATGCAGATTATGATCCATGAGTCTAGATTTTGTTTACTCTCGATCGGAGACAAAGAGTAATAGACGACCAGGAAAATGGTGTGTGTCTGTCTGCCTGTTTGTGTGATTACGTGCATGTGAAAAATGTTGAAGTTGATAATCGCGTTAACCTTAATTTAATTTAAAGTGTATTATTGTTTTCCGATTGGTTTTTACACATATTTTGACATAGATTTGATTAATTATGTGTTGTTTTTATTTAGTTATCAAGTTTATTTATATTGACGGACTGTATAAAATTAATTAAACATCGTTTTTCCAAGATAAATCATGCTTAAAGCTGTTGTAGGGAGACTATAGAAAACTAACTTCCTTTTTTTTTACGCTGCACAAAATTTTGTGTTACAGTAATTTCCGTAAATAAAGTAAAATTAAAAATATAAATAGCCTATGTTTTTATGTTTTAAACTTTTTTGAATTGGCTACAATACATAATGAAGCCGTTCGTTATTTTTAAATTTTTCATTAACTACTACTCAGAGAAGTTGGCAAGATTGGCAAGAAGTTGGAAGGAACTTTCTCGCTCCACACGGATATAGTAGTTCCTATGGAAGTCAGATGTCGTATAACTATAGCGCCATCTATCGTCGAATAGCGACATTATACACTATCCAAACGGGAAGTAGCAAAAATTCAACAATGGTAAAGACCACGCATCAATTCCCTTTTTGCACGAATAGACAGGTTCGCCAGGTACGAGAAACTTACAGAAGTCAGCACGATATAAATACGATTACAATAATTTTGTATTTCTGTCGGCCAGTGGGGTAGCCGGGGCCCTCTGTTTTTTCTTAAACTTCATGCACAAAACACAGTACATAAGCTGACTTAATGCTGACAGCATTTTCTACCAGTCAACATTAGGGTGGTTCTAAGTAGTTGAGGTAGGTGCACAAACATATAACAGAAAAAAATGGATAATTATTAAACATAAATATATACATAATACAATACAATCATGCAATAAACGATATAATTAAATATAACTTTACGTATATATGATATGATATTTATTTTATTTGATATTTATTTATTTCTATAACAATATCAGTACAGAATATTTATATCTAATTAATGTTAGTTACAATAAGAAAAAGACAATGACTACACTGTGGCTCCCAAACTAGGCAGTGCCTGTATCTTGGGAGCCGGTTCTATACACTTTAACATACATATATACTGAGAGAAACATATATATATGATATAAGTAATATAAGTAGTATAATATAAAAATATATAAGATTTAATGGATGTCAACGCATCTGTGACTCGAAAAGGTTTTGTAGATGTCCAATGGCGGCACTAACATCAGTTGAACCTTCTGCACACACGTCAACTTTTCATACGAAAAAAAATGTTTTCTGCTTGTCCCTTAGGTGCCAAATGTCCTGCACCTTTTGATTATTTTCAATTTGTCATAAATATAATGATAAAATGATGTTTAATAAAACAAATGACATGTCCATACTGCGTGGCGTAGCATCGTGTTAAGAAGGCGAGTTAGTAGACCATCGTGAAGGAAACCATCGTGTCGCGACTTTACCCAATCCACCGGTACTATAACCAGGCATTGCTTTTAGTAGCCGTCTTTCCTACAATTATCCTGTAATAACTGTAATTACAGGATAATTGTACGACAGACTGCTATTATAACCAATGCCTGGTTCAATCTTCACCCTGAAATAACTAAAATAATATGGCCAGCTAAATCAGCTCAATAATAATTAATAACCTATTGAAAATTTATAGGGTTTGATGGTGCAGAGGTGGGATCATCGCAATGAAAAGAGAGACGAAGCGCTGACGAAGCGCTCACTCAGCATTGTGAACAAATATGGGATGGTATTCGAGGAACTGACATCTACAAAAACCTTGTGCAATTCTGCAAAAAAGTCATAAATAACCACGGAGCCTACACTCGTTTTTAAATATAAACTTAATAATAAATATAAATAAGTATATAGTTGTATATTTATTAGAGCTCGTGTAATTTGTTTAAATTTAAAATTCTGTGGAAGTCCATTACTAATAACATTTGTAATATTAACGGGATTATCATTCAAGATGACCTAGTGATCTGTCATTGATATAATGTCAAGTATAGACTAAGATAGAAATATATATTTTTCATTTTTATAATATTTATAGATACTTATAGAAGTGAGTAGAATGTAGTAAGATATTTATAGATAGGTGTAGTAAGATATCACGTGTATTTATTTTTTAGTCAAACGCGCGATTTCTAAACCGAAAAGCAATACGTAGTCTGACCTTGGCTCGCCGTTACATTTTTATGATGGTCCTAAATTTCAGAATAAAATATGTATTTAAAGATAATATATAAAAAAATTAACATTCTTCGTAGGTACTAAAAAATACACGTGATTATCTTGTGATAGTCTTAAACCTCGCCAAGTATCACCAAAGGGGAGGAGGGACACTCCTCCGGTCGCTTTCAAAGCGACACTTGTGCCGTAACTCAACTGCATACCTGCGCTAGTAGTGTTGCTACCCAAGCACACTCGCTGGTAGTCGACGCCAAACCTCCGCCCTGCGTTGAGGTCTGCTCCGCGGCGTTGAGTGGCTAGACACGGCATAGTGGTGTGATTAGTGCGACAGGACGCTTTTTGTTAATCATTTTAAATTCAGTGCTTGTGCGCGTTTAAGTATTCGTCGTAGTTTTAACCTCTTTTAACCGATATTCGTACCCCTTTTATTATAAAAGTGGCCGAATATAGTGCGAAGGTAACATTCCACCGGGACACAAAGGTTAAATGCGCATACCCCAAGTGCAGGATAACTTCAGTGCACCATGTCGGACGAGGGGCACTTTTCCCGCCCGTCCACGTCGAGGCCGCGCCCAGACAACCCAAGGCGCAGGCCCCGACCGCCAGGGTTCGGCACACGTCTGCCCCGGAGCGAGAGGACTCCGAGGTAAGTGCCATTTTTTATCAGCGCCAGGCGGGGCACGATGTGACTGCGGTTGTTGAGTCTGCACGATTACACTCTAGACTCATCACCGCCACCGCAACCGCGCCCACCGAAGAGCGCTCGGCCACAAACCTCCTCCGACAACACCGATCTAGAGGAGAAAATCCCACGACGGAGTCCTACCCCGGCACACCCGAAGGACGACGCCACGGCTAAGGCCGCGATGTTAATCCGTGACGACCCGCCCCTCTCTCCAGATGAGGAGCCCCAATCGCATGCCAGCACCAGCGGCTGGTCGATGCGTCAGCATTACGGCGCGGAGAGTAGCGGGGCTAGGACCGACTCAACGTCATACGCGACGTTGGACCCCGAGGTGGGGGAACACTCCCGCCCCGCCGTGTCGTCGCCGAGCTACGCGGCAATGGCGTCCGTTCCGCCATCACCCAATGCCGCCAGGCCAGGTCCATCCAACGAACCCGCCCCCAAGCAGGATGATGCGAAATATTATCCGCCCATCATTGTGGAGTGCTTCCCCGAGTGGACAAGGCACTTCGCCGAGCTCAAAAAGCAGCTCAGTCACGCTTCGAACGCCTGTTCATTCGGGCGTGGTATGAGGTTCCGCCCTAATTCAGTCTCAGTTTCGCATCATCCAGCGATACTTAGTGGAGGAGAGCAAAAAGGATCCCACTTTTGTGTGTTATTGTTACTCTCCCACTGAAGACCTGCCCACGAAAGTGGGTATACGTGGCCTGCCGCCTGACACATCTCCCGATGAGGTGGTAGTGGCATTCCAGATGGGCTGCCCGGCTACCGGTCATATACGCCAGGGTAATTCCGTCCAGGAGGGGCAGACCGGGAGCCCTATTCCATCTAAATCTGGACCACCTCAACCGAGAAGAGCTGGAGAGCATTTATAGAATAGACGAGGTGCTCAACATAGCGGACATCACGGTGGAGGACAGAAGGGGCCCGGCACAATGTTATCGGTGCCAGGGCTTCGGGCACTCCTCTGCCAACTGCCACCGACCGCTGTGGTGCGTCCAGTGTGCAGGGGAACACCTTGCCGACGAATGCTCTAACAAGGGCAAACGCAACAACTGAGCCAATTGCGCAAAGGCCCATGCGGCCAATGAAATCCGCTGCGCCATCCTACAATCATCTACATCATCCATACAAAGGGTGGCCAAAAAGAAGGGGAATCAAACTGCCCCCACCCATTCCACCTGCCAGTTGAAGACGGGCGCCAGGAAGCAGAGGAGGAGCGCCCACCCCAGAAACCACCACCACAAGAGGAGCTGCCACAGACAGCAGCCGTACCTTGGATGCAGGTTAGACCGCAAGCTGCACATGGTCCCCAAGGTCGACCATGTGGTCCGAGACAGTTCGAGAGCGACAAAGGCGGTCCTGCACCCAGTCCTCGCATCCAAATTGTCCGAAATCTGACGCTCGCCCCCACTCACTCCTACCCAAGTAGTTTGTACTTTTTTCTATTGGTAGAAGAATCACCTCTGGCTGGCCTTCTGCCAGCCTAGTCATCAGACCGATCAATAGGGATGGTCCCCGAAGATCACAACGTGTTGGACTCACAAATAATGGATTCAGTTGTTAAATAATGTTAATTAAAAATAATTCAGTTGTTAAAAACCCTCACGTGATTAATCGATCCTCATCAGTCGCTTACCACTGGTTACAAACATAAATTAATTTTTGCCTCATCTAGATTTGAGTCTAATAAGTAAATCTGTTTTGAACAATGTATAAATTTTTACAACAAAATCCCAGAAAACGTTCAAAGTTGCTTAATTCAAAAAAGGCTATTATAGTATTAGTGATTATTTATATTATAACACACCGTGTAAATGAGGTGGTTTAGAGCCGGTGTGATTCAGAACAGCTTCTTACAAAACGGCATGAGCGTTACTGCAGATATGTACTGTAAAGAACTGAAGAAAATGATGAAGAAGCTCGCACATCTGCAACCAGCTTTGGTTAATCGGTCGTCCCCGCTGCTCCATAACGACAACGCGCGACCCCCTACTGCACAACAGACAGTCTCCAAGCTGCAAGAGTTGGGGTTGGAAGCTCTCCCTCATCAGCTATACTTACCAGACCTTGCACCTACCGACTATTAGTTTTTCCAAAATTTTAACAACTTTTAAGCGGGAAAAAAATACAATTCCTGAGAGGCAGTACAAAATGCTTTTGTTGCACATTGAGTTTGTCGCGACCAGCTGATTTTTACAAGAATGAACTTCGGTAAAGAAATCGGTAAAAATACTCAATTTACTCACATAGACAAAATTCTATTGATAATATGCTTAAACTAAGACATTTTATTTAAATTTTTAGATAAAATTTAAGTTTTATTATTTTGTCCTCTATAAATGTATATTATGAATTTGAAAAAAAAACAATTAATATTATTTGAATGATGTTTTAATAAGATGATGTATAACCATACTCGGCGGTCTTTAAAAATAGTTTGTTTTAAAAATTGTTTCATCATTAAATGACAAATATAAGTGAATGTGAGATGGTATAAAACTTATGATACATAATATGAGATCCTCAATTTCAGCGCAATTGTGTGAAATCATTTGTATATAATACACCATTGGTAACTTCCTTAAATCTTGTACCTGGACGTATTGTTCGTAAAAGGCCCTTTGACCAATTGCAACCTCATCTTCAACATATTCAGCCTTCTCTCAAGCTCCAAATATGACATCGATATGTACCTAACAGTCATGGCGGGAAATACAACTAAAAAAAACAACTAGTTGTAGTTAAATTTTTATTGCGTCTTCATCATTCGAATGTGCGCATCGTGTATCTCGCTAACATCAGAATTTGTTGTTCGATTACAATACCTATAGAGGCTTGACAATGAACCGCCGAAATGGCATAATCATTTCGCAATTTTGTAATTATGACATTGTCATTACGACAAAATGATATTGGGCATATTAATAAGAATTTATCAATAGTTATTACTAAGCTATTACTAAAGGTGATTCATAAATTAATAACACATTTTTTAATACTTGCAACATAGGCGAGCATCGGATACAGATACTACAATTTAATTTTTGTTAGCAACATGTCAACTACGATAAAACGTAGTAGTAGTAGTAGTTGAAGCCAGTACTATAACATCAAATATATACCAAAATTTTGAGTTAAAATCAATACTAAGTGAATTTAATTTAATACTTAAGTTAATTTTAATTTAATAACTGCGTTTATTGGCAGAGATTCCATACCTACTATAACATATGCACGATATAAATCAATCGATCATTCAAAGTGAACTGTTTATTTACGTTTAACCGAATGAGTGGACATAAATCAAGTTTTAAGATGCAATCGACATATTGCTAGCAGATATGATTTTAAATACTTAAAGACGCATCAAATTGTGAAGGGTAACGAATTAAACATGAACACCGCCTCATTTACAGAAGATAAGAATATTTCAAGCGATACATCGACGACATTGCAAAAACACTCAATCCAAACTTACCATGCGAAATCATAATATACACCACAACTCGCAGAGGCTGACTAATTATAAAACAAAAACAATTAAAATTTAAATTGAACATAGACAAATTAAAAATCACAAACACCAAAAAGAGCCATCCTATAGTAATTATAAATAGATACAAGTTAACACAAAATACGATTTACAGATAATCCTTTAAATAAAACTGTGCGAATCTCGTTTGTACAAAAATATCGACAGGAGTGACTTATTATTGTATTTATACAAAGCTGTTATACATAACAGGTGAGGGTTGATCTATAGAAATAAATTACTCCTTTACGGATCCATGATCCATAGTGTACATTAATATCACTTCTTTAGCTAACATCTATTTCCTCAACTTTTCTCTTGTTTAATAAATATGATGTGAAACACAATTCTACCTGTATAAGCCGTTGCGACGCTAAATACTAGGACACGGCGAGGTCTATTATTTCAAATCGCGTTTTCCTAGAATCTTCGAGAAAAACATGCGAAGAGAACTAACAGAAAATTATCAAGGTATAAGTACAACAGCGATTGTTAAAAAAATATTTCATTTTTGTTACGTTGTCGTCGCACTTACGAGTGGATAAAATGGGAATTATAAAAAATATTCAGCGGACTCTCTACGGAAAAATATATTAAAATATCATGATAAATACAACGATTATGAAGTAGTACTACCGATATGTATATATAAAGTAGAAATGTGGTTAAAACTATACACAGCAGATACATTTTAAGCGTAAAGACAAAAATATATATCCAAAGGTTGTTAGGATTCAACAAGTGATTGATCACTCCAAATTGAGCCATAACGGCAATAAGTATTGATTGAATCCCATCCACTACCAGCATACAACACATCCATCCAATTAGCTTCAAATAATTCTATTGTTTTCGCATCTAATTACGAGGATCTTCTTTATAAGACGCATAAAAACCGCATACAAAATACATGTCACACCTTAAAATATTATAGAGTTACTGTAATAGTATCATCTGTAAAAGATATTTATAAGTACACAAAGTTTTGTCATACAAAGTTGGAAATATATTGTTCAAAAGAGCATTATGTACGATATATACTACACACACTAGTAAAGAAATTCAAAAGACACTATGTGGTTATCAATAAGTTTACGACGTAAGTTCACAATTAAATTTCTTAATGCTTTTGTTAGTTCAAAAAGCCGTATGTCAATAGGATGTACTTATCAAACAAGAAACAGTAAAAGAACTGATTTTTCCCTTTGTTTTATATATGACAAATTCGATGTAACCTCCTTTAATCACATCGTTAAGAGTATTTGAGTTGCAAAAAAAGTGTAAAGTGTTACTGTTTTTCTTTTATGCTTAACTTTTAACATACGACCTTCCGTGCTAACACTAGCTATAAGGTAGCGTATACTGCCTAGACAACATCGATTTGTATTAGACCCGTAATAGGTCCTGCATATTGAGTTGCATGGGGGCGCGCGAAGCGTTAACGTCCTCGACGCGTTAACAACTTACATTCGAGGTCTTAACCTAATTCCTACATTGGTGCAGGGGAATCACATTGGCTTTATTCGTCCCGGTTCTCTCCGTCGAGCGTCTGCGCGCCCTCTGCCGGCTGCTTCTCGGGGTCCTCTGGGGGTTCTTCGCCGGGGTCCTCCGCCTCGGGGCTGGGGTTCTCGTCCCTCTCCTCGATGGGCGCATGCTCGTTGCGTAGGCTAGCACCCTCGCACTCGCCGGTGGGCCGCAGCACGAGGTACATCAGCAGATCCGAGAGCGATATGATCCCAATCACCTTGTCGTCCCCGTCCACTACCACCAAACGGTGCACCTGCGAGGGCGAAGGCCCCATAAGGTGACGCAAAACTTGCGACTGACAGGTTTTGGGCGAACACGCAGGGCGCTCGCAAATTTTTCTCTTTCCATATTTTTATTTATCAAAAAATTATAATAATTTATTCACATCTGACATATTATAGTCTACAAAAAGACAATGTAAATTGATAGGGTAAAATAAGATCCAGATGTATTAATTTGTTTGTAAAAATAAAGTGTTATAATTTTCTTTTTTTTTTCTTAGGTAATTGTAATATGTGTTCAAATGGTACATGTTTCACAGTCGGAAATAGCATTAAAAAATATATATATATATATACATATATATTTATATTGATTTCCAACGATAATTGACTCATCACGATATCTCGGGACCCATAAGGTGTAGAGACTTGAAATTTGTTAGAAATATTCCTTTCGCCGAGTAGAGGTCAGTTAAGAACGGATTTTACGAAATTCCACAAAACCAGTTTTGCCGGATCAGCTACTTTAAATATAAAACACAAAAGGGAAAGAAAGGCTCCAAAAATGAGAGGCAACAACGATATGAAATCATTGTTATTGCCCAATAAGCAACAGTGAGAGTCGCCCCGAGTGCGTAAAACCTGTTTAGACAAAAACGAAGAGACGCACCTCTGCTCTCACGATCCTCTCCATGACCTCGTAGAGGGTCTCGTCCAGATTGCACTTCTGGACACCCTCGAACCATTCGTTCCGGTGCTCGTTGGCTTTCTTCAGCGAGACGTCTAGATTGTTGTAAGTCTTCTCAGCTGCCAGGTTCTAGCAATGAGAGAAACATAACGTGGCTGTTAACCACTTCGAAACAATACAGCATAATAAGAAAAAAATATTATGATTACAAGGAAGGAAAAGGTATTATAGGAAAGATCATCTCGTATTAACTGAGTCGTTTACCTATACAGTTTTTGTGTGCGTACATAACATAATTATAAATAATTTCTCGAATACTCCTTTAACATTGTGACATACGGTTGTCTAAATTGTTTTTTTTTTCTGAAGACTAGGCTGCATGGTCTATGATCCTTTGCTGTTCGAAAGGACGAATGAAAAAGCTAAGTTCCTTTGTTGCTTCTTGTCATTTGAGACTGCCGCCGGTTCGAATTGACATTGGATAAATTACTTTTGTGGATCCATTATCTTCGACTGTGCATGGCTAGAGGTTGAAATCAGAACACGTTCCTGGTCGTATTATCTGTGTGATTCCTGTCTGGGAAACTCTGTGCGGAATTTGTTATCCCTCGTGGTAAGATACTTTTGTAATTTTCACTGGTTCCCTACTAAAATTTTAAAAGACTTGCATTGAGAATGTATTTAGAAATCTCACGTGAAGGTAGGATGAGAATTTTATTGTCTCGTGTTTCTAAGGTTGGTTTTTCGAATACTACAGGTGGATGATGAAGGCATAGGTGGCTGGCAAGCTGGTCTGATCTGCTACTCGATTAAATTATGTTTTTACCTCCAGTTGGTAAGTGTTTGACATCTTTATAATTGTAGGTAGATTCATATCCCTGCCTTTGTCTGTTCTACAATATAGTGTTTGTTGGCAGGGGACTCCTACCTACCCCCCAACAATGTGGCTGTACACACTACACTTGGCCTGATTTGCTCTACTGGTTCTGAGCTGAATGCTGACCTGTGCACACAGGGTAGGACAGTCACACAGGACAGAAAAAGAGTGAGACAATTTACCACCGTCATTCTTCCTGTCCGATTAGTGTCTTCAAATCGAGAATGAGCAGGCTATTACCGACTTAAGCCTGGTTTCTGAAACACTTATATTCGTAGAAATTAACTAATCAGCTGTCAAATGGCTTGCCAAATGTCATTTGAGTTGCCAAAATGTATGGTTAAGCTGGTTGAATTGATCATTCTGATGAAAACCGGGCGTTAGTGTTTAACCATCACAGTAAACGAGTAGAACAGTTTGGCGGCGTCAGTTTCCCTGTCCGATAATAATGCGTGTCTTCGAGGCAATAGTGAAAAGGCTGGTACCGAGCTAGTTCTTTCACAATCCGAGATTACATCTTACCATCGGATAAGACAATAGAGACACACTGACAGCATTTCGGGTAAGAAAGTACGAAGAAAGTAGTACTCAGTCTACATAATCAGTACTATGGTGGAACAACAATCCACTGTTGCAAGAATGGGCAGGTGAGTACCACGACCTCAAGGAAGATCGGCGTGAAGCGGAATAGCTACACTTCTGCGTTTCTTCTGGTCAGCGAAGTAGCCGGGTCCCACTTTATTGAACGGCGGCAATGCGTCTGCAAATCTACCTGCAATGTCCACGGGCGGGGCTACCACTTAACATCAGGTGAGCCGCGAGCCCAGTTGCCGCCTTCACTACATAATCATCATCATCATTTCAGCCTGTTTGACTCCACTGCTGGACATAAGCCTCCCCCATAGACTGCCACGAAATACGATCCTGAGCCACCTGCATCCATCGACTTCCCGCACATTTGCACAGGTCGTCACTCCAGTACGAGGCTGCCACTCGAGAACCTTTCTTCCCGAACGGTTATCGGTTAGTATAAAACAAAGTCGTCCCGCTGTATGTCTGTCCCTATGTATGCTTAGATCTTTAAAACTACGCATCGGATCTTGATGCGTTATTTTTTACTAGATAAAGTGATTCAAGAGGAAGGTTCATATGTATGATACATTGCACCCGTGCCAAGCCGGGGCGGGACGCCAGTATCAAATAGAATTAAAAAAAATACCCACTATCACGTCGAACTTCGCGTATATGTCCTTGAGGCGGCCTTCGGCGTCGATGAGCGGCAACGCCGAGACGCGCCGGTTTACGAACTTGCGGAGCGCCTCGATGATGGACGTCTCCTCTGTGGCGGTCTCGATGTCGTTCAGCGTGCCAATGCGCAGCTCTCGCAGCTTGCAGCGCAGGTAAGCTGGCTTCGGCAGCTCGTTGATCTGCGCGATACGTTCCCAAATGTACAAGCCCGTATGTAAACCCCGTATGTGAACATCCCCGTATGTGAACATCCCCGTATGTAAACAACCCCGTATGTAAGCCCCGTGTACAATTGTAATGTTATAACACAAAGGCGCTCCGTGATGGTGTAGTGTATTGCTGTGCGATACGTTCCGAAATATGTATCCCGAATACAATTGCAATGTTATACTTCAAGGGCGCTTTGTGATGTTGTAGTGTACTGCTGCGCGATACGTTCTGAAATATGTATCCCTTATACAATTGCAATGTTATACTTCAAAGGCGCTTTGTGATGTTGTAGTGTACTGCTGCGCGATACGTTCCGAAATATGTATCCCGAATACAATTGCAATGTTATACTTCAAAGGCGCTTTGTGATGTTGTAGTGTACTGCTGCGCGATACGTTCCGAAATATGTATAGTTATACCTCAAAGGTGTTTCGTGATGTTGTTGATGGGTACCAGTTTTGGGAAGTCATGTGCTTACTTATGGCGACGCAAACTCCACGGCAACCTTTTGACATTATTTTTCTTTTATTACTCTAAAGAAGTATAACTTCTAACGTACATAAGTCTACATCCAACTTATTCATTTAAACAGAATATGATGACGAAAAGTAAACGAGTAGAAAAATTGTAATGTTTTCATAAGAAATTTAGTGACAATTTGTTTAAATGAAAGACATCGAAGTACGGAATAAAATTTCATTAATTGATAAATACTTATTCACACATGATTATATAACCATTCGGTGACAGATCACGCTCGGTCACGTCGAGTTAAAATCTCACGTCTTCATATTATATTGCACAGATTCAACATGTGAACTTCTGTACTTGCGGAACAAAAACGCAGTCAATTAACTCACGATTTTAAACTGGTTACGACATGCTTCCGTACTTTTTAATATCGAATCTTGGCCAACTGATGTTCAGTTATGCGGACGGTTAGCAATTGTTGGACATCATCAATAACAGACTGGTTGCAGACGCGTCGCCCACATTGAAAAGCGGTGGGCCCCGATCAACTCAACCAGCAGACGAAACGCAAAACTATAATGGGTCCAATTCTAGCTGACCTTGACAGAGATCGTGGTTCTTCCCCGAACGAGTCTGGCCATTCGTGAAACAGTAAAAGCTGTTACGTGGGTCAGCCACAGTGGGTTTGAGGAAAATAAATGGACGCCACTTCAAATTCGAAACAGGGCCGCGTTTTCGTAAATCAACACGTCTTACTACTTTCTTTCTTTTTCAGCCTAGCAACACTGACGCTATACAGGGTGTGAATCTTTGTTCGTGAGAATGCTTTTATGTACTTCCTCATAATCCTATATCCGACTGAGTTCCGAGCGGAACGTTTCCTGGTTGAATAATTTAACACAAGTAATATTTGTTAATGTGTATGTTGTTGGCCTCCAAAAGGTTGCGTCGACATTATAACGCGAAGGTTACCTTCAATTATAAAGAGACCTCGGTAGACCCAATTAGTTAAATCAAACAATATGTTAATTTTTGATTACATCGCCTTATTAATGAATCATATTCATATATATTTTTCCTTCAGAACCAATGTCAGAGTAACTTAAGTATTAAAAAGCTAATATTTACCCTATGTTGTAACAAAAAGATAACCGACAAAACAGAGTAGCTATAAAAGAGAGCCTTCACTAAAATACACTCAAGAGCAAAAAATCGACTCGAGCGTCAAGCAAGTCACTTAGTTGAATCTCTTCAAGAAATTAACTAAGTTCTTAATTATAATTTTCTTTTTGAATTCCTGTATATACAGGCGACTAAATAATGTAAACCAATGATATCTTTTCCAATGAGACGAGCCAAAAACATATTGTTATTGCTGATCACCTATATGCACTAGTTTATAATAGCGCCCTAGAAAGATTTATTTACCTTAACTACCCTTATTAGTAGTCGTTAAACGTCAACCGGTACATTTATCCCATATTTTTGAGACGCAGTGAGTCTAAAGAAGTGAGTTTGAAGAAAGTGATTGAGTTTAAAGAAGTGTCTCAATCGGTTGCCCTAACGGAACAATGGCAGAATCCACGAGAAGTGGCTCGTGTGTTGAACATGGGCCAGTCTGCTGTATCGGCAGAAGTTGGTGCGGATTGGAGAGGGATGGCCGATTCAACGCGAGTGCTACGTTCAGAAATCGGGCTCTCAGGACCCAACTAACCAAAACGGCCGGCATGGGGCATTAAGTTGACCCCACTCATCGAGGAGATGTTGAATAATAACCGGCGCCTAATAGTTATTTATTTAATGAGTTAATTCACTGTAAATGATTGCGATGGCGGGCGGAATAGACAATAGGAATCTAATTATTGACATAGACAATCACGATTCATTATTACGCTTACTACTGTGCGTTGAGAAATAGATCACCTTAATTGTCTGTATCCAACAGCCTCTCCTAGGTCACTAGATTGTTGTCCTTGCTGGAGATTCAGTCGATCAAGCTTCCTTCTAATTATTTGGACCGACAGAACACAATCTCGACAGGTTCTTTGGTACTCGAACATTGCCTGCGTGTGTGAATCGGTTCATGTTCTTTCATGGTCCTAGCTAGGCTTATTTTGGCTCATAGACTTCCTTATGTGGCTCACTCCAGTAGGTGTATCATTTGTTTCTCGTGAACTAGATTGTAGAGTTTCCTTTCTTTCAGTTTATATCACTGTAAGCATTTTACGAGAATAATTTGACCGAAAGATTACGGCGTGAGTCGATTTTTTTGGTCATGCGTGTATTGTTTGTGTATTAATAAACTATATTTATACCCACCTCAATAGACCATATTTGATTAAATAAGAAAATCGCTTTCGCTTCTATAAAATATGGAACTTCGTACGAATGCCATACATAAATAATGTCCTACATTAATTTGAAAATTAGGTCGAAGTGGAGTAATGGCGGCCCAATTCTCTAGCTAAATTCAATTGCCATCGAGCCGAGGAGTAAACACCGTTGATTCAATTCTAAGGGTATAAAGAACATAGCATACTGAACACATATATAGAACACAGTTTTCATTGCTTTAAGTTAAGTCCTTTGTATAGTCAAATATTTGAAAGAGAAAATGTCTGAAGGTTGCTCTTGTATATTCCATTAACATACTTTCTTTTTAACAAGTAATAAGATCTTCGAACTTGAAATAACTAGATTTGTTTATTTTATTCATAGATTTTTTGATATCTGCAGGTAATATTTGTTTTCTTTACAACGTTGTTTTAAATCAATTGCTTAGAATGCATAAAAATTCAAAATCCATAAGCGATTAAATTGCAAAGTTCTAATTAAATTGTCATAACAAATTTTAACTGAACTTCGCGTACCATTATTTTAAAATATTATGAGATGTCTTTAAAGGCGAGGACACACAGAGTCTATCAAGGCTGACTCAGAAATTTCTTAAAATAGTGCCGCTATTATACTCCTACAGGAGGACAAATTCAATTTCAAGATCAATCTAATAAAGGTCGCGCGCTCCTGAAAGAATATTAGATAATGCTCGCCAACCTCGCCCATTGTTAACAAAACACGATGAGGTCGACTTTGAATCGTATCTCTGTGCGATTCGTGTGACATTCGCTAAATATATCACAATCGAAACGAAAACCGTGCAAAGTAAAGTGCGATAGTAATGCGTTGGATGGAAGTGGCGGACCGAATTCGGTCTCAACTCGTCGGAGACCCAACATCGAAAGTATCAACCGATGTGTGCACGGTGTGGGACTTACGTATAGAAAGAGGAACCGCAGGATCCTCTTGTGGGTTAGTATGTAGAGCACGTCGCCGGTTTCGGGGTCGATGACCGGCAGACGATGTATCCTGTTGGTGATCAGCATACGGATAGCTTCGAACAGTGACGAGTCCGGTCCGATAGACACGAGCGGCACCACGGAGCCCTTCAGCACCTCTGCAATGTCCCAACACAAACGTCGTAAGCAGGGAGGGAGGGGGGCGGCACAATCGAGGGCACCGTCGACCCCGTTCCCGTGTATTAAGCGTGACTGACACGATCCTGCGCCGCGCTGACGGCATTTTTTATGTGAAAACCTGGCGAGCGAGCAAGCCGTTCACCTGATGTTGAGTGTTACCGCCGCCCATAGACATCTGAGATACCACAGTGGTGGTAGATGCGTTGCCAGCCCTTTATAAGGGTGACCTCCGGTTGCCTTACTCACCAGACGGAACGGGAAAGTATTGTACTTCCACTTCACATCTCCTGTGAGCCCATGTTGGTTCCCCGGACGAGCGTGCCCTTTTCGTGCAACCGCAGAGGCTGTTGCGGGGCCTAACACCGAAAGACCCTTATTGGCACGATAAGCGGTTACCATCACCCAATGATATCCACAACAGCAAGCGGTTTGCCCCGAGCAGTTAACTCGTGCTACATGAAAAGGAATAGATACTCCTTTCCTCCTTAATTAATTTTATTTTTCTTTTTCTTTCAACGGGCGGACCAGCTAAAATGCAAAAGCAGAACCCGATGCTAGGCTGTGCCACAGTAGAAGATGTCTAGAATAAATTTAATTTTTTTTATAGTGCTAATCTCTGCACTGAAACAATGGATTTGCCAAGCATTGCTTCAAATGCTAAAAAACTATGTAGATAAGTGACCGTTAAGATATTCTGTGTGGCAATTAGCCGTTTAGCTTAATGGCTAAAGCTTCAGGCCACGAATGCCGAAGATGTGGGTTCGATTCCCACAGCGGTGACAATCTTTCCGTACTAAAAAATTTTATATGTAGTAACTTTGCTGTTTGAACTTTTATTCCTCTGGATTTATACTTTTATTTTTCTACCCATAATATTTTAAATACTCAGATTAGTTCTACGGATATTTGCTCTGAGATACAAGGAACACCGTAAAAGTTCCCTCTGTTGAATTACTAACTTGCAGTGAATGCAAACAAAACATTACTGGCTTTATACATGCAATCACAGCTAGCATGCAATACAGTATTAATCCACATGCCTTCATATATTTGTTTATGATCGAGGGATCACATTTGTCGCCTTGCGAAAGTAACGACCTAATTAGAGCGTACCACAATCAGTTCAGCCACTAATTAAATTTTAAAATTAGCAATGTTCGATGTATTTTGCAATAACAAATTAATCGAGACTCGATACGACATTTAAGAAGAATAAAGATGTATTGCACTGACAAATACGCTCATATAATAAAAACTAAAAGTCGATAGAATTAATCAAATACTTTTTTCGTTTGTTCCATTTCTGGTGTTTTCTGATTTACGGGGAACATTTTTACACAAATAAGGAAAATATTTATCAAAAGCCATACTCGCAAAATAACTAATTGTGCGCAAATAAAACTGCAGAAAATAAAATGAAGTCTTACACGGGCTAATTCAATTAGTAGGTAAATGTGAGACAACGCACAACGACAACAGGTTAACCATGATTGTAAAAGAGGGAACAATACTTACGGCGCCACGTCTCGAGGCGGTGCTCTTCCAATTCCTCCATGGTGACGTTGGGGCTAGTGTAGTACATCTGGAGGATCTTGATGAAGTCGGTGATGGTGAGCATGCCGACAAAGTTCTGCCTCTGGGAGTCCCACAGTGGGGCAGCGCGCACGCCTGTGGGCAACATGCGCTAACGTGACGTAAAGTTCGGCACCCTCGGTACGTTTCTTTTGTGACATTCGAGAAAGAGAAACAATAACAGTAGTTTGGCGGCCACTGATGTAACGCAGCAAACGTTACACGAAACGAACGTCACTATTACACGCCGGTAGGACCGGAACCAGGGGTCATAACATTGTGTATGGCACTGATGACAAAACGAACACTGGTTAAAGCTAATTATTTGATTTTAACCGTTGAAATCATACAAAACAATAAGCAACCTTCATTTTGATATTTTTCATTGTAACAAAACATTTTCAATAAAATATGGCTTTTCAATATAGATTGATTTTATAGATGGAGCTATAGTCAAACAGTATTAAGTTTTGACTAAAAGAAACATAAACAAGAGATGACCTAAACGATTTCGTCATAGCAATAGTGATAAAGATATCTACTATCCATATTAAAACCACGCAATGGTATTGAAAACTATCGTAATTTGTGCAACGACTCGTAATAAAGAATTAATAAATATCAATATATCCTTTGCGATGAAATATGATACGAATATTTTTATAATAGTTGCTGATTTCATAAACAAATTTTTGATTGTACTAAAACTACAACTATAATTCACGGAATGAATATCGTAACAAAAATAAAACAAGAGCAAAACAAGACTGTGCACATTTCTAATATGGCGTCGGAAACTCTATACCGATACTATTGAATTACAATTCATAATTGAAACGGAAAAAAATTCCAATAGATTGATACATCTGCATGGTTCACAACCACTTCAAATTGTGTACGAATCGAGCAATGTGTTCTATATAAATTAAGTTATTAAATGGTACAGACGGTATATACGGTACCCGAGGTTAAATAAAAATGAAAGAACTTCTGATGGAAATTTTCTTCTAAATGGAGCTAGCATTTCGTCAATAATTTTAAGTGGTTTTATTTTCAAGTGAGGTTCATTCCAATTCCGACGTGAACAAAGGCCTTTTAACGAAAAAAAATGATACAACACGGCTAAGAGAAAAATGCGCAGAATAAGATTTCTTCAACGAGCCCATTATTCGCTAAGCGGCAAAGCAGGACTTATCATAATTACATAGCCATCGTTTTTTTTTTTCGCTGTTTGCATGCATTTGCAAGAGGTTGCATTAGCTAAAGGTTTTCGCATCGCATTATATAAAACACCTCAAACGGAAACAGTGAATCATTGTCTTAATACAAACAGAATTGACATAAAGTTCGTTCATACCTTAATCTTAAAACATAAAAATCAATAAGAAATTGTGATCACGACTACCAAATATTGCTTTGTATCTAACCATTACATGTAGATACGGTCAATTCATGAATTGACACAGCGCACTCGAGATACCATTTGATAATAAATCGGTAAAAATATAGCACAACTTGTAAAACTCCTGATCAAATCGAATTATTTAATGCATCGCATGTGTGGACAATGGACATACAGTAAGTTTTACAGCGATAAGATGGAATAACAAGGAGGATAGTGAGCGCAAACATTTCAATGTTGAATTAATTAAGATCGGAAAGAGAAAATGAAAAGTATAATTACGTTTTGGGAGACTCTTATTATCAGTACGTCCATCGAGGTTAGTTGATTGTCACTGACCGTTGTAGACGAGTGCGAAGAATGCCTTCTTCACGAGGAGCTGCGTGTCGAACACCACAAGCTTCGCGGAGGTCGGGATGAGGTCGTAGCATTTATGGAACTTAAAGAACTTCACGAAGATCTGGGATTCATCCTCCTCTGCAAATCGGAACGGTTGCAGCAAAATTATTGTACACTAAAGAACTTAACACTTAAATTATTATATTTGACTTTATTTGTAAGACCAGTTTCTTTGCTTGCGAACTGATGGTAATTTAAACAAAAAAAAGCTGTATAATGAAAATATGTAGCTGAATAAAAATATCCAATGTTGGTTCACATTGAACCCACAAAGAAATTCATAGAGAAAAATTATCTCAACATTGATACAATGTTTCTATATGGATTTCTTTATCAACGTAAACTTTCATTCATCTTGGTTTCGTCCAAACCTCAAATATGCCAATATTTCACAAGGTGTACAAAAAAGACAAGAAAAAATATTCAAATACAAATAAAAGCTTAGTCCACGTTTAAATTATGTATTTCGTATTATTCTATATAAATCTGCATCACCTTAGCTCTTCCGATTTTATCACAATCGTCTATAACAGGCAACAAAAGGCACACAAAGAATTAACTTAGAACCTTAAGTCAATATTTGTGCAAGTGACATTTGGGTGGGTATCTTAAATCGTTCAAAAGATACGAATACAACATATTTGTAAGAAATATACGACATTAAAGTAATAATTTTAATTTGACTAGTTCGTTAAATAACATTTTTTGGTAGAAAAATGAACAAAAACTTTCGGCGCTGCACGATCGAACCTGCGCCTACTGGTTTCGCCCAAGCTAACTAACTAAGCCAAGCGGCCGATGACCTCATGGCGTGAAAATTTCGACATCTATCCTCCTTCTTTGTGTCGTTTTTATCAATGCTTGACGCCATCTAGTGTGCATCTTTTACAGCATACAACACCTTACATAGAAAATTCAACGATGAACATTTGTAACGATAACTAACTAAATAACGATAATAGAGCCATTGCTCCTAAATATTTTCTTTTTCTTTTTATTTTTAATCTCTGCACTACAGACAGATGTAGCTATCTTTAAATTATAATATTATTTGGATTTGAACAAAAACTTTCGGCGTTTTTGACGGACATAAATAAGATTATTATTAACTTTTTTACGAATATCTCCACATTACAGTTCTTTTCGATATTTTGATATGGCACTTGGATACTTTTTTCTTACCATTAATATAATTCATAGACTGGTGGCAAAATTTGTAAAGCGTTTTCGACGGCAAAAGATGAATACAAAAATTAAGTAGACATTCTATTCAGAACATTACCAAGGAGCTAGCTCTTTGCCAGTCGGTAAAATACTTTTATTAGAACTTACTTATTATTCCATTATTATTAAACAGAGAAAATATATCAAATTAACCATCTGCGATTAATACACGTATGGGAAGGGATAAAACTTTTTGCCGCCACTTGGCTGACGTGTTTTCACGGCCGGCAAAGCATATTAATCCAATGGCAGGAAACAGGTACAGATGTGAATGTTTGTTTATTTATGTTCCGCACCTATCGGCTTGTTACGCAAGTACATGGAGGCCGTTTGATGACGTCAGAAAGATACTCGCATAACATTATATTGAGGGGTGTTTGCCACCAAGGAAAAATACGTATTTTTGACTATAGCTTGGCTTGCAAATAAATTGATATCAGTTATTTTAAGTCGTTACAAACGGAATCGGCAACAGAAAGAAACCTTAAACGATGTAAACACATACAATGACGTATAACTTATTATTCCATAATTAACGAGGCAACGTCGGGACACGCACGAAAAGGGCGAACAGATCTGCCCGTCTTTCAGGTCTAAGACTAAACGAGCCGCCGCCTAACAGTACAAACGGAAGAACGTAGTTCGTACGGTCATACGTCAGCCACCGTGGAACCGAACAGCGGCGTTAGCGAGCGACCGACTGTTACTTGAAATCGCCGCGCCGCGGGCCAACGAAAACATACGCGCCGCTCGTCCGGTGACATAAACAACGCGGCACCTTTGAGGAGCCAGTCAGCGAGGAACGCCTTCCATGCGCGGCCGACCGCCTCGAACTCCTTGATCAGGTCGATCGAGTGTACGGACTCGTCGTCCTCGGCGGCCGCTAGTGCGGGATGGTCCGAGAAGTAGTGTAGGCGCAGCATGCGCGGGCATCGGGCGGCGCATCGCCCGCCGCGCCCGCCACGGCTCACCGCTAATTATGCACGAGGGCGCGCATCCCGACGCGAACTTGACACCGCGGGCGCGCGCGCACGCGACCGCCGCCGGCCAGACTGCCCCCGCCGCGGCGCGCCGACGCCGACGCCGACGCCGACGCCGCCGCCGCGCGCAACTCGCAACTAAATATAAACCCGGAGACCCGAAATAATGCGGCCGGGCACGACGCGGTGCGCCGGAAACTGAGGAAGAGCGCGCCGTCTTTTGTTTATTCTTTTTTTTTCTTCAACCGATTGCCGGGGAAACAGCATACGCGTATCCCGTCCTCGCGCCGTAAAGGAGTGGTTGGTTGCGACGTACTCGTACCGACAAGAACCGAAACGCTCGCCTAAACCGTCACCGCTGTGCAAATCTTTCGCGAGGTTTTTTTTTTCTTGGTTGGTCAGCGAGCACCGGCGCCGCGGAAAACTGATTGATGCCCAGTGACGCCGGCGCGTCGTATTTCGCGAATGTTTTCATATTCAATTTGTACGCCGTCGTTGCTTACTGTTTGTGAACAATAGTGTGATAAAATTGCTCGGACACGATGTAGCAATTTAATTACAAATTGTGTTTGGTTGCACAAACATGGATACGGAGAAATTGTGTTTGATTTAAGCCAGAGTATACATAGTATATGGAATATATATAGCGTAGATTGAAAAACTGTGATATAGACAACGGCGTTCACTTCACAGATGCGTCTCAATAGGTGGGAACACTGTTCAATCTGTGTCACTTGTTCTAAATATTGACTGTTCTAACAACTTCATACGCATTGATGCATCTAGGCTAGTGACATTTATAGCCACAACTGCGTTGATACGCTGCATCCTTGGCGACAAACAAGTCTTCAACATTTTCAATCTGATTTGCAATCAAAAGCTATAACTAAATATCACAAATAATATCACAAAATATACATATAACGATCAAACGAGATCTCTTAAACTATTATACTATATCGCTTATCACTCCTATATAGGCACAAGCCTAATTAAGAGCATTATAGACGCGACGAAAACTAGTCATTTTACGAACCTTTGTAGTTAAGGATCAATTTTATTCGTTCACACATATTAGAAATAACACACCGGGCGGTATAATACTCGTAAATACTTATGTGGGGCATAAAATTTATGTACTGAATGTTAAACACTAAACACAAACGTAAAGATAAAATGTTCTTATCTACCGTGATAGCGCAAGCAAAAAAATCGGATAGTGATTTCAAATAATTACTTAGGTAAAATGTGAAACTAGTATTAAATTTTAATTTCATAATCATATTTCCAATCCTGTCATGTCAATGACAGTACAGAAAGAAAATTATGGCTTATTTTAAAAATCCATTTGTAAATGATAACTTACACAATATTTGAAACTTACTAGGTTTAAACAATTTTATTCAAAGTATGTTATAGATCTTCAGAAACACCTATTGCATTCCTCATACGAGTATACACAATTACCGCCTAATTAGTTCCTACCACAAATTTTGTATTCTTATCTATTTTTTGGTAACGGTTTTCTTATTTTTTTTTAATAATTATTCCACTACAAGTCGGAAACTTTTGTTATAGTAACTATATTTTTGCATTATCTCTGTAAGAGATTATGTTTTGAGAAAATAAATGTCTTCAACCTAAGACCTACATAAGATTTTATATGTGTAATATGTTCATTAAATGACAAACTTACCTAAGTCTGAGAGGCTGACTTTTTCCAGAAACGGATCAGCAACTGGCAACTAGAACAAACAAACGTTAGATTAGTAATAGCAGCTTTAATTATATACTGAGTTTATTTGTCTTCACTTTTATTCCTTTTCGCTATGAAATGGCTAATTGAACATAATGCGTTAAGAGTTACTAAGTTCTGTTGACAAAATTTAACAAATTGGAAACATATAACAACAAACAATGGCATATTTTACGGGCGATAGCGTTACGTGTGATGTCATGAAACAATAAAGTAAAAGAATAACTTTAGCAACACCAAAGCGGTTGCCGACGCGGTGCCTGCAATAAATACTTGTACTTCAATACTTGCAGTTACATCCCCGGTCTGTAAAGGCCCATTTACACGATGCCATTTTCTTGTACATACAAGAGCAATAATTGAATGCAATAAATTGCGCGCAATAATTGTTTAGACCATTTGTTGTTTAGACCATGCAACTCATTTATTGCTTCAATTTAATTGTATACAACAGGCAAGAAACTGGCACCATGTAAATGGGCCTTAACGCAGCCATTCATATACAAGAAGAGAGAAAACCCACATGGCAGTAATAAGATTCAAAATGACTATGTATCATTGTCAATATCAGGGTCGGACCGCATGAGCTCACTCCTAAACTAGATGCAGACAAGGCGACCCTCGGAGCTATGTAACCGGTTGCTTACTGCATGATTACTGATGATGATAATACATTGATCCAAAAATGGGTCAATTTTTGATTTGCTTTGAATGAATACGACGAGACTTGCTTCAGTATCAATTACACTACAAATACGTAATATTTAATTGGTAAATAACGTTTAACAGAAACAAAATTAAACATTCATAACAATATGTTACATCACCAACCTGGATGTAGTTCAGGTTGGTGATGTAGCATTAACTTTTATTCTCAAGAACAGGCAGTTGCACGAAATAAGGCCACAAACATAAGTCTGTTTCCGTGGCATTAAACCTTCTTAATTAGGCCATATGCATTCACAACGAATGCAAACAAAACAATACGACAAATGTGTACAATACATACGGGTATAAATTACGTACATCGCAGTTTCGAAGAATTTCGTTTGTTTCTATAAATTGAAACTATTCGTAAAAAAACAAATGAATAAGCAGTAACATAACAACAAACCGCTGCAACAAGAAATTTTTCATAAAAAAGAATTGATTACAGTTCAAAAAGTCCAGTTAGTGGACGTGGATGGATGTATGTCCTTCAGAAATAAATGGCTCTTACGTATAAAGTTTTAAGTGCAAAGTCCAAACTCTAAATGATATTTTGGTTTACTCTTGAAACAGAATCGTCCAACAATTACAGACAGGTTACTAATAGTACAATGAATAATATTTATTTGTATTCAAGCTCACAAAAAGGCCAAAATGTCAAGTTGCCACTTTGAGCAGTTTGCGTACGACTCGCGCATATAGACATGACGCAGACGAACTGTTATCTATAAGTGAATGTAACCGGGCATACACCGGTTTCCGTTTTGGGTGCGCACCGCGGCGGCATAATAGTTATGCGCAAATCCACGCCGTTCCTTAGCGATGACTACTCACCCCCCTGGAATCACGGAACAGCATGGCGGCGTGGTGCGGGTCGAGGAAAGCGTCCGAGGCGCGATGACGGGCCGTGGAGACATTTCCAAGGGAGGAACGACGCTTCCCCGCCTCCTGGGAGGCCGCGCGTCGCAAATAGGCACCTGTCGACAATACTCTCTTAAGGGAACGTAAAACGCTTGCGATAATTTGTTTCACTTTTATAGTTTACTCTCATTTCCCTTAAGCCATGGTTTATTTTTCAAAAAGAAAGTAACTTTAATATATTCATTAAACACTTCTTAAAGGATATAAAACATATTTTTGCATGAAAAAACTATATTTCATCAACGTCTCTGTCTTTGTTTTTTTAAATATCTTTATATTATGTGTTATATGTATTATGTATTATATCTTTATATCTTGGTATTATACATGATAACTACCTACAATGATCTAATCACCTGTCACACTATTGCTTTTCTTTATAAAGCATATTATTTTATGAATATTTTTTACCATTGCACGCTCTTATTAGAAGGATGCTGATAAAGTAAGAGTAGGCTAATATTTTTGAATTCTTGAATTTCTTGAATTTTTAAAATAAAAACATTGCCCTTACATTATCCTGTGTTGTAAGGGCGTTTTTAAAAACATAAATTTCACGCGGACAAACACCCAGATACGATAAAACTATCTGTGGGTCACACAAATAGTTGTCCCGTGTAGGGATCGAACCCACAACCCCCTACGCCGAAGCCAATACCTTGGCAACTGCGCCACGGAGTCATCAAGTAATGGATTTAAACACTGCCAATGTTTCCTTTTTATTGTTCAGGACAACTTTTTTGTTATTAATAGTTATTTTAAATTGTTACATCCTTCCATAGCTATTACGCTCTTTCTAAGACGTAGACGGTGATAGTTAATGTTAATCAGGCCCCGCAGATTTATTGAAAAAAATTGTCACTGTATGGCAAGATTTGTTGTAGTTATATGCTGTTCATCCCAGGATAAATAAATCCAAAAATACTTGTCTTTATTTCACTTCACTTTACATAATAATATTATAAAAGTATTAATTATAAGTAAGTTTTATACTTATACTGAAAATGTTAAAAATTCTAAAAATAAGTAGTACTTGCTACTTTAAGTAACTTTCAATTATACAACAAAAGGTTTGAGTTTATTAATAGAGCCATTACAAAATGGAAACCAATTGAATTCAAAGCAATCCTGAGTGAAATATTCATAAGTCTTAAATTAAAAAAGTCCAAAGCTTGAAAACGCATAAAGAATATCACGATTCTCAATAGAATTCAATAGAAAACTTATAATTGAATTACGATTAACAATACTCCACTGGATATTTGTGATAAAGTAAGAACAACAAACATAAAGTTACATCAACTAATAATTCGATTTGGAACTTTACCTAAGCACTTTGATGGTGTTCAATGTTCAAATGCATTTGAATGAAAAATATTTGCTTCAGTGAATACTCATAAAGCAGAAATAATTAAAGAGGACAACGGTAAATCTAAATGGTCTACAAATCGTCCGGTCGCAATATTCTTTTAACATTTCCACGGAAGTTGAAAAACGAAACTACCATTTTCCTTCTCATTTTCATTTCATAAAGACATAGAACGCTATGATGTGACTTATAAAATATTTGTTGTAGATTCTTTCAGCACATTTAATATAGCAAGCATTATAGGTTTCCTTTTCAGATCAATTTCAATGTACATGCTAATTGCGATCCGTAACATTTGTTAAAATACCATCAGTGCGATAGGTGTCAACCGGTTCAAGCACAACTCACGACCATAAATTAATCTCTCCAGTTTAATTGGCTTAATTCAATTTTAATTCTACAAGACTCGTTGAGAAGGACTTAGTCATATGGCTGAAAATTTTCCCACATCGATCCCCCGGACGAACAGCAATCTGGTTGCGGACAAATAGGGATAGTGAATTGAAGCTTTCTTGAGAAATAAATGCAATTTCTTCCTAGCACAACCAAAACGCGAAATGATAATGAAAGGTCGAAAATTAGATTAATATTACACAAAATGCGACAATTATCACGTGAAAAGTTTCAATAACAGGCAATTTTTGGAACACGCATATATTTTCTTTTGCAATTGAAAATAAATGGTTTGTTTGGTTTTTGCAATTGAAAATAAATGGATTGACACGGGACAAAATTCAACACAATCATCTAACTGAAAGTTGTATATTCTTAATACTTTCAAGTTATAAAAAAGTTTAGGACCATATCATTTTAGCCCACATGTACTTTTGGAAAGTCATTGTGAGAAGGCATTTGTGTCATCACACTCTGTAGCTTGTTTTATATATGTCTTGAAATTTTTCTAGCATTTCAATTGTATCTAAAACAATAAGAACATGATACAATACAAAAAAGTTTACGATTTCTTTTTTTTTTAAGTAATAAAAGGAGATCAAAAGTTACAGCCCATGTGAATGACTCAACTGTCAATTTCATGTCTATACAATAAAATATTAGACGTTGAATAGGCGTTGTTTTAAATAAAGCAAAAGCGTTTATTAATAGCATTCATAAATAATTACAGTAGGTGTCACAGATAACACATTAAATGCAATTAGGTGATAGGGAGCATATTAAATTAAATTTCATGGCGATAATAACGAAAACGTTATCGATCGATCAACTTTCATGCTAATTACTGACGATACTGAGTTTATTAACGATGGATACTGAAGTGCAATAATATATTCAAGTCGTTAATTTATTCGCATATTGACAGCCACCCCACGACGACAAACAATTGCGCCAGAGCTGTAAGTAGGTACATGACAAACTGGGACACTGTATAAAGTTTGTAAACAAACATATCGACCAATCGAAACTTTTCCACAGCAAAGGCAATGAAAAAAAAACTAACATAAAAATTATCCTTAAATGCATTACAGTTGAATGAGAATGAATATATAAAGACACTCAATTTCCTTTGTCGTCAACGTCGACAGTTATCATCTTGTTTACTTAAGATAAGATCAAAATTAAACTGCAGTTGTTGCCTGTCGGTCAACTAAGGTGTGCGTATGAATTTTTTCCTACCTGAAAAATTTTATAGGTTTCAAACGGGTTTTCAATCATATGGATGTGTCTGGCTGGTTATAAAAAGTATTGATGTTTAAATAAAGTTCCACATCCATTTTTTTACAGCGGCTGTTTTTCCAACAGCTAATATCGACAGCATTAGGACTTTTTGATTGAATTATCATATTGCTTTGACAACTTCAAAGAAGTCTTATCTCTTCTCTTATCCTTTAAACGAGCAATTCTTATATATATATATATATATATATATATATATATATATATATATATATGGGTGAATATACAAAAATTGGGTAACTCGATGTCAGCAGCCAATATATACAAAGTTTTATTATATTTTATTGAGATTACAATTTATTTTAAAACAATGTAAAGTCCTTTATTTGGTCACACAATTTCAGCTCTTCATTTTAAATACAAGTTAATAAAAAAACACAATTAATGCTTAAAACGTCAGTCCTTTGGCATGTCACAATCCCGAAAACCAACAATCAAGTGACTATCTATTAAACATTATCATTGATTTAAGAAAACTTACTAATTTACTACAATCTGTGATGTACATAGTAATATATGTTACATCTTTTATAATGCAATGTTCTCCACTTTATTTAAAAAATAATCAGAAACTTTGTGTTTTGTTTTATTCGTCAGTCCGTTGCGTATTATTTAAATTTGAAAATCGTAGCAAATATCACCGCCTCAACGTCAAATTCCTGTTTGAATTTTAATGTTGGTAATGAAGTTTGTTGCGGACCACAAAATTTGACGGCCGTCATAACTGTACCCAGTGCTTGGGTTGTGTTTGTCGTCTATACACATGGTAAGCCAGTCAAAATGTCAGTCCCATGATGAGACGTTATTTTCTTGTTAATCTGAGGTTTATTATCATTTATATATAGTTAACTATAATTTGTTAAAATGTAGTTTGTTGATATTCGAAATTACCAAAAAATATATTAGTTCAGATTATAACCTAAAATTATGTCTTTTTCGTCAGTCCGTTGGCGTCAGTCCTTTGCCAGGTATCGCGCCAGAAGACTAACGTGTTTCCATGGTACTGATGTTTTTTTTGTTTAAGAGCACTTTTATCTTAATCGCTACTGTGTATAAGCATTTCTATTTTATACTTCAGTTTAAAACATCATGCGGCATGCTAAAACAAATTGACTAGGGAAGAAATACTAAAAAAAAGAGAGAAGCTGAAAAGGCTACCGACCCCAATAAATTAGCGGAGTACAAAGAAAAACAAAAACTTAGATACTCAAAGAAAAAAGATAAAGGACAAAAAAAAATATTGAAGACATGACACCACGAGAGCAACGAATAACTAGAAAAATACATAAAACTACAGGCAAAGGAAATACCTATTTGTTTTAATACCACTAATAATTTTATAAGCCAGAATACTCCTCCACCGACTGACGACAAAATACAACCCATAGTTAACGACGAAATCAGACCTGTTATAAACGAAGACCAAAGAGCAAAAGAAGCTAAAAAGAGAAGTGAAAGACAGAGAAAAAATAGAAACAGGGAAATAAAAAAGATAAAGGCTATAGTTTCAAACCTTAAAACTAAACAAATACTCAGCTTCAAAAATATAAACGAGTCAAAAAACAGCTAAAAGAATAGTAAAATCTTTTAAAACGCCACAGACTAGAATTGAATACATGAGTGAAGATAATAACTAAAAAGAAAGAATTAGTGAAGAAGGCCCATTTTGGGGAAGTTATTAAAACACAATTGGAAGAAAACTACACTAAACTAAAAACTCATGAAGAAAGAAAAAAAATTAACCAAGTTATATCTGGAAACTAACGACCCGCACCAGCTCCGCACTGGTGCAATGTATTAAACATATAAACCTTCCTCTTGATCACTCTATCTATTAATAAAAAATACGCATCAAGATCCGTTGCGTAGTTTTAAAGATCTAAGCTTATTTAGAGGTAGACAGATAGACGGTACAACTTGTTTTATACTATGTAGTGATTCGATAACTCAAATCAATATTAATAAAACAGTGGCTGAGTATGAGAGTCCATAATAGATCTGAAAACGAAGAAAGAAAGATTTTTGATGAAATGTAAAATACAAACACAGGAAATGTCACCTAGAAATGCCATTACAAAACTTGAAAATGATTTGGTTAAAATTTTCCGCCCTTCTTTTAACGTATTACACCAGTACAATGCCATTAAGCAATTGAAGGTCTTTATCTGAAGCGGATGCCGTTGTACATATGGATTTTTCCGAAAATTTTTGTATTAAATATAACCAAGAAATTGAATTCTTCCATTTCGGCGGTTCGCGAACCCAAATTTCATTGCATACTGTTGTAGTAAGTGTTGTTGTAAGTAAATAACGTTACGTAAAATGTCAAAATGCTGTTTTGAAAACTGAGATAATATTTTCTCCCAGTATTACGTATTAATAATTACTTTTAAGTGTTATTAAGTGATTTTAATACTTGAAAGACATGTGCTATTATTAAATCCTAAGAGATTTGTATAATTTTTTATTAAAAATCATTATAATTCTTACAAAACTGTGTATTTTATCAGTACTATGTTACCCTCGTCAGTCCCCTGGCAGTCAAATTCTGAAAATTTTAAATATCTCAAAATCTACTCAAAAAAGTGACTGGCCCGATTTGGAACAATATATACATTAGATAAGCCATCATATAAACCCGAATTTGTAGAAATTTGATTTAATAACTATAGTAAACAAAATATCCTCAAGAGTTACCCCACTTTTGTATAATCACCCATATATATATATATATATATATATATATATATATATATATATATATATATATGGTATTTGTATATATATATATATATATATATATATACAAAGAAAATCGATCTAGCTAGGTTTCATTTTTAGAAAATGTCCTTTTATCCCTGTTTTCCGGGAATGAAAAAAAATTTTATAATAGCTCGGTCGGTAATCGGGCGGCCCCAAAACAGACGGCCGTGGTTCGTATCACGATCATTTACACACTTATTTTTTTACTTTTTTTTCGATTCCAGATCATTGCTTTCTTTATCATTTTTTTTGTCGAATTGTTATTTTGTTATTTTTTCCCTTTTTTTAGTTCTTTCTTTTGTGAAAATCACCAGTTCATATTTTCTTATTATTACGTCGGTAAGATCGAAAAATATAATGCATATTTAATTTCTCAGTAATTTGTATCTAAATGTAATTTACAAAATACACGATTTACAAAAAAAAAAAAACCGAGCAAAGCTCGGTCCTCCAGGTACTAACTACCTTTTAATGGTCTCTAAATTGGAGGATAAGGCAATTAAATCCAGTAAAATTATTGCACATTTTGAGGAGCATTTTAAGTAAGCCTGTTTTATTTTTAAGAAAAGAAGGATGTGTAAAACACGGGTGATCGTTTTCCTTCACTCACCGGAAACTAAGGTAAACCCTAAAGATTTGTATATGGGCCTCAAGGATATTCTAGAAGAATTAAGAAATGTGCAATGAACGGTCAAGAAAAGTTTTCGCCAATAAACACAGACATCGCCTGATCCGCATTACGGTGAAGACGAAAGCATGCGAGTGTTACCAATACGAGACTACACTGCTTCCCAGATGCGTGTTTTGACGAAATTACTCTCTGTTATGGTTTGTCTAAAGCTCAATATACATAAACGACTACGCTCGCCACCAGTCTGATGAGTAAGGTATGTTCTGAGGGTCTTAATGGCAGCTGGTGCCGCAGACCCTCACAGAACCGAAGAATGACATTACAGCGGAGTTGGAAAGTATTCGCTATAGTGTCCAGACGAATGCTGAATTTTTTTTAAAAATCTTAGTTTTTTAACATGTTCAATTGTTCATTAATAATAAGCGCGTATCTATTATTAAATACGTGTTAATTTTTATAATGGATAGTTCAATTTCGTTCATTTCTTATGTACAAAATATCACACGTACAAACAAAATATTTTAACAGCGAGTTGTAAGAGGATCAATGTTGTTTTAATTAGTGTCATTTTTTTGATAATTAGTGGTACCAACGTGAAGCAGGGACAGTGCGCAAATTTAATAATAGTAGTAGTCCTAGTCACCCAATGGCCTAAATTCAACTTTAAATCAATTAATGTTATGAATCTCAGGCTGGGTCAATTGACATTATGAAATTCTTTGGCGATTTATATACTCTGTGCATTTGTTTGACATGTGGCCGTTATGTAACTGTGAAAGTTTGTATGTCTATGTACCTATATAGTTTTAGTTTTGAGTAATCCTTCCCTACATCAACATAACCATTAAAGAATAAATATTAACGAGTTCCAACTAGCGACAATTATACAATGATTTTATGTAGTAATAAATTCAAAGTTTCGAAATTTAATATTAAAACTGATTCAATTTAGTATACACTTTTTTATAAAAATTCACGATCTGCAATTTTTTTATGCACGAATAAACACACTACATTTTATATTTATATATGACATATTATAGACAACAAATGATTTCGAGAATGTCAATGATTAAAAAAGGCCGAACGTAATTTTTTTATCACATTGAATAGTTTAACCGCTTTAAAAAGTTTATTTACCAAAACATTAGTGAACCAAATTACCTTCTTTCACGATCGTGTCGAAGATGTGGTACGTTGCGCCGCAATCGTCCAAAACGGATTTCCTCAAGACTTTGTGCATGTGATCGCCGTCGAGCGATTTGGACCGGGATCGGAATTCGTCGTTGTCGCTCGTCCGCTCTTTGCTGACAGGCGGCACGGCGCACGAGCCACGTCGGCCTTCGCCAGATTCGTGCCGCCAATGCCCCACTTTCTTGCTAAAAGTGCGTATCAACTCCTGTATCGAATGCTTATGCTTATGGTTGCCGCTGGCACTGGATCCTGAGCCGCGACGGTCGTGCGAGCCGTGGCCCTCTTTGGGGGCGCCCGTACTCTCGACCAACTTTTGGGCGAAGCTTTTGTTGTCGAAACGACTCTTGTACGCCAAGTGGTTCAGCTTGGTGTTACTGATTTCGCCGTATTGCTCGCACTTGCTGAACTCGTTTTCCTGTATATCGTCCATTACATCGTTGTATATGGGCGAGACGAAGTGGCGATAGTCGTGTCTCGATGCCTGATAAGTGTTCGCGCTCGTCTGATAGCGCTCATTGTCGTTTCGAATGGATCTGTGGGAGCTCACGTGATGTTGGTGGTGTTGGTTTTGGGACGGCGAGCCGCGTCCCTCCATAACGTCGCGGAAGTAGCTGGCAAAATTGGGGTACCGGTCGCGGGGACTGGACGCGAATTCGAGTGGCGATCTCCCGCTTCGATGGTGGCCGCTATTCCTTCGTTGATTAATGGGGATCCCCTTGGCGTGTTCATTTGGAATGGAGCTGCGTGAGTCAGGCGCACTTAATGATGAGTACCAACTCTCTGTGCTATCCTCCTTCTCTATAGGGGGAGTGGGATCCCGCGAGTTATGTTTGTGCAAGAAGTGCGTAAGGCTATGCATCGTGTCTTGTAGACCCAACTCTCCTTTAGCAACGCTCTATAAATAATAAGTTCAACGCCATATTCCTAAGATATGCAAATAATATGTCCGTTCATCGAATCTCGGCAATTCTATCGACAGTTTGTTAACGAAACAGCATATGACCGCCAAAATTTATATTTAAGGCCATTTTGTTAAATTTTGCTGGTCCTTAATTTGATTTGTAATTACGATTTAAATGCTCAAGGTCGACGAGTCCTGTGTAAGGGCCGAATTTGCATCAAAAGGGAAATAGTATCTGCCCTTGAAACGAAATGCGGAACCAGACTTAGAACATACGAGTTTAAGTAGGTCACCTTCAAAGTTAATCACCGACACTCCCAAATACAGTAGCTACGCGATAAGTATATTTTGACATAGTATTTCAAAAATTAGATTATGTTCAACCATGATATAAATTTAAATTCAACGTATATCGGATAGTTGAAACTTGCAAATAAAACAAATAATGCATAACTGGACGACACGCAAAACCGAGTAACCTAATCCGTGTGTTATATAACGGAACCTAAGACAGCAATTTTTGCAACAAATGCTGTTTTTTGTTTCCAACAATTTCTTCAACAACTTATTAAATTACAACACGCGGCGCACTATATGACCAAATGAAGGGAACCTCGGACGAACGTCGATGAGTTTGACACAGTATAAGATAATCCCATTTAACTGTCCTGTTGTGGCGTCGCCTTAACAGAGTTTAATGTATTGTGGTTAAAGAACGAATGATTTTATTTATTAAATTAAAATAAAAGGAAACACAATGATTGAGCATTGTAATTGAAATAACAATATTAATGATTTTAATAATAATAAATAAAAAAGGATGTAGTCACCGAGGTGTAATGGATGAAATGCTTTCAACTGCTTTTTTTTAACAAGAGATATCGGATATTTTTTTTTTTCAATAAAACTATTTTCTGACAAACTTCACTCAGTTTCTATATATCTTTCTAAAAAAAATATTAGGTATCCAATCAGGCGCGACTTTATAAAGCGAGAAATTTTACTGTACAAAGATATTGCAGTTTTTAGCAAGGTCGATAACTCCATACAGTATTTTAAGTCACATTGTCATTTTGGCTATTGCTATAAACATTGATGTCAATAGGAGAAAAAATGCAATTGGTAATTAAGATTACAAAAATATTCCTTATTACTCTATACAAAAAATTGTGGGGTGGTTTATAAATTTACTTTTTTGTAAAGTAATCCCAAGGAAAACACGATAAATTTTTTACACTTGAAAAATGATTGACATTAATTACTTTTCTAAATATAAACTATTCAGCCCTGAAATAAAGTAAGAAAACTTAAACCTAAATAGAAACTGAAACATCACTTTATCTGTCTTGAAGGTCTAGCTCTCACAGTATTGAAAAGATTGAAGTGGGTGATGTTTGAGAGCTTAAAAGCGAAATGTATTTTCGGCACAAAAATGCGAAACATCTGTATGTATTATGTACATACCAATATTGAAAATGCGTAATGAATATGTCTTTATCATTAATACAAGGCTTAAAATAATCAATAGACATAGTGCTATCATTAGAAAAGTATATCAAGACCAATATATCATTATATCAAGACCAATCCATCATAAGAAGTCCAAGCTATTCAAGATGACCTAAAGTCTGAATGCACGACAAGAATAGCTTTGTGATCTTCTCTTTTTATTTGCAACCTTGCGCATCGAGCGGCGTTTTGGCATTACCTGACGGCACTGGCGTCGCGCTATGAACTAAACGGAGACGCTTGATCTTTCACGGCAGGTTCCCATTCTCAATCTATCTGTAGATTTGATTACTAGCGATAGGTATTTGAAATTTGCTTCATACTATTTACGTCAAGATTCTATCTTTACTAACAAAACTTACGGTTCTACGTTTCTAGAAAAACACGTACATTGCGTTCGTCAACAAAAACAAGTAGGGCGTAATTACACCATACAAAGTAAACGTACCCCTATCGCTAATGTAAAAACAAAAGGCCACGGCTGTATGAGGAAAAAATGTGGCTATTGTCTAGCTTATTACTCCTTTTCTTGTCCTGACCTACATTTATAAGCTCAACTTCGTATCGGGAGGTATCTTTCAAATGTGTCATTTTGCTTTTAGTCGGTGACCTACATTTATTAGCCTAACTTCGTATAGGGAGGTATCTTTCTAATGTGTCATTTTGCTTTTAAGGCTTAAAGTTTCACTTACTTTGTCTTCAATTGTGTATGAAGAGTTTATTACTAGTTACAAAGGTTACTTTACGCGAAAATATAATATGAAGTCATTAATTTACGAAGAATTTTAAGGTTTTCTTTCTTTTATTAAGATTTTTTTTTTTATGTGAATAGTTGCCAAACGAGCAGACGGTTCACCTGATGGTAAGTGAATACCGCCGCCCATGGACATCTGCTACACCCGAGGGTTACAGATGCGTTGATAACCTTTTGAAAATTGGGCTCCGGTCACCTCACTCACCAGACGAAACGCGAAAGTATTTGTCATACTTCCACTTTACGCTGGTCTTCTGTGAGGTCGTGGTACTTACCCGGACGGGTCTGCCCATTCGTGCAACAGCCGAGGCTGCTGCGTGGCCCTACCACCGATATGATGATGCATATAAATGCATAAAAGTAGCTCATTAAATCTCTATCCAAAGGTTCCTTCTAAAAGGAACTTGCAGCGTACTTGAATACCGTAGTTTGAATAAACCTGCCAAACTTTTATGCTGCAAAGCAACACTACAAGCCACCTGCAGTTAATAATGAAATCTACCAAATGTTATAAATTTATCTCTCTCGATGGAGACCTTAATATAAATGTACAAAACACTATTATGTGCAATGTTGATACTTTACTACTTTCGTATTAAGAACGCAATTCGATTTTGATTCAATTCAAAAACTAAGTTTCAAAAGTTCAATTCAAAGCAAATATACTTAAATATGTAATCGCTCTCTTAAAATCTATATTATTTAATTATATACACAGAATTATTTTAGTATTATTTAGCAGGAGCCAGGGGACTTGCAAATGCAGAGCAACAGCCATTTCCACATATCCTTGTCCTCAATGTATTCCTCGACTTTATAATAGGCCCTTTCCATTAAGGTTTTTACAAAAAAGTAAAGTAACAGCCTATACATGTCCCACTGCTGGGCAAAGGCCTCCTCTATACAGAGGGTATCAGGGCATAGTCCACCACGCGGCCCCACTGCGGATTGGCGGACTTCACATATCTTGGAAATATATATTTTTTTTGTTATTATTTCGAAAAATATGCAGGTTTCCTCACGATGTTTTCCTTCACCGCGGAGCACGTGATAAGTCAGCACTTAAAGTTAAAAACTTCATTGGTGCCGGCACCGGGGATCGAACTCAGGTTGCTCGAGTATATTGAATTAAAAGCGAGCGCCCGGACACTGAGCTATCACGGCTCATGCTACAAAATGTTTGATATTATTTATACTTAATTGTTTGTGGATGTCACCTATTCTGAATGAAAGAGAAACGATTTCCTGGTTTTAGCTAGTCTAAACCTCGGTATTTCCAACGTGACACCACGGCCCCGACGCGAATTTAGCCGTTGTTGTCGCGATAAGTTTGGTTTTGTTAGGTATTAGATTTCAAATATGCGTATAAAACATTGCGGTGTTAAAAGTAACATTAAGATCATTCCAATGCGATTACTATTATGAATATTGCAACAAATGCAATGCAAGACTGTTGTAGTGAGTAAAGCGCCGGAATGAAATAATTTTATAATTGCGATAAAATAAAAACTAATAACGCGAAATGATTTAAAATTTTTATCTTTAACCTACCCTACAGCGCACGTCAATTAAAAATATAACTGACATTTAAACTCGTCTAATAACGAATTTCTGCATTCAAGAGTTATTAAGGAGTCTCCACTTGACTGAAAGATTCATTTAATGTAGGTTAAGCAAATTGAAGTCAAACAAGTGCGGTTGTTTGTCACTACGCTAATTCAACGTGGTCGTCTTGTATCCGCTATTGCGCTGTCACGTGTGCTGATCAGTATACGCACCTCTAGCGATTGGTGGTCAATCAGTTCACCTCGAACTATCGACGCGAAGGTCAGGTGCAATTGAATACTGTTAATAACATTAATTAAAACGGACCAGTTCAGGCTTCAGTGAAAGATTTCATTTGAGTCAAATTAATTGCGTGTAGCAAATGATTTTTGTCATCTTTTTACATTTGCAATTAGGGTGTAATAAGCAGAATGTATTTCTGTGGGCATTTAAATAACAAAGAATAAAATTATTACAATTTATTTTGGCCAAATTTAATACGCGTTATGCTTAATTTACGTAATTTATTACCATGAATTACGTAATCAAGAAATTGAAAAATACGTAATGTTGTCATACAAAAATCGCTATTAAAGTAGATGAAATAGTGTAACAATTCGTGTCTTTCGTTTAAATAATTCATTTTTTTCCACATTGAAAGTCTAAAATGGGCATAATTAATGGAACTAAGTACCAAAAACAATTAAATACGGACTACGTAGCAAATAAAGTAGGACTTTAAATACTCCGAAATTAACTTAAACAAAGTTTCTAATGAGTATGTGAAAACGGATTAACATATCATATGTATTTATCATATCGAGATCACAAGATACACGTCTCCATAAAACATACAAAACGTCGAGATAAGGAACAGATATACATATTTAAAAGCGAACATTTTACGCCGATTGTTCAGGGTCGCAACAATACGGTGCGTCCATTCAGGAAAGAAGTTTGTTTACGGTGAGTAACGCAATGCGGCCAGTTCATATGCCATAGCCGGTAAGTGCACATGTGCAGCGACGTAAACACTGAAAGGAGCTAGAACGAGATCCGACCAACAGACGCCCAAAACACAGAATGTCCACGGCGCGCTAACGCTACAACATTAAAACGCCACTCGTATGCATCGGTGCGAATTTCAACAGTTGTTTATAGCGGACGAAGTGTGCGCGACACGTCACACTCTCGCGACGGCTGTGGGAACACTAACTTAGTGAAATAAATAAGCAAAGAGAGAGGGAACGAGAGGGCACTAGAGGTGCAGACGACCGCGTGGCGAGCACGCGACCGGCGAGGAATCGAGGATGCTACGACTCGGCTCGCCTTTAGAGTGGCCACATAGCGCGCAAGGTTGAACCTAGTTCCATAATTCTACCATGACCTCAAACGGGTAAATATTTTTCATCGCGAAAACTTGTTTGAAAAATTTAGCGGAACTGACAAATACAATATCGTTTACTTAATACGTTACTAATAAAAAAGGTTTTTCTTCAATGTTGTATCAAGCAAAGTGGAACGCAACATTTAGGCTAAGGTTTAAAAACTAGTGTGCCTGAGCGTACGTATTCATCGTTCCCCTCGTAGCTAGGGTAAGCTTTTCCTATGTAAGCATTCCCCTAACAAACCCCTCACAAAGAAGCTTTAAAAATTGCGACGCAATAACCCGGTCACATTTCGAATCAGTTCGTCGTAATAATCACATTCAGTAATATTAAACCGCTTTTTTTATCTTAGAAGTGTAAGAAAAATCTAAATATTTAATACTAACTAATATAGGAAGTCTTCCTATAGTTATTAATATCCATGCAACTTATTGATATTTTCTTATCAAATGTACTGCAAAGTATATATCTTATTATGATATCGACAAAAATTAAAATAAAATATCGTAATTTTTTATACCATCGGGAGCACTTCGTTTCGGATTTTTAGATAACAAATGAACAGATAAATAAATATTTATGTATTATATTATTATAAAGCAAAGAGTAAGCCTATATTCATTGCTTATTATTATATCGCATAATATAGCTGTTTATTTAACAGATTTAAAAATTCTCAATACGGGCAATGATTCTCTACATTAGAGAACCGTTCAAGATAAAGAAAAAAATAAAATGTAATAATAAAAGCAAAAAAAAACAAAAAAGTTGCTCGTTCTCTTCTCGAAGTACAATGATATAAAAATGCACAAAAAGGAAAAGTAAACAAATCATACCCCATATAATCAATGTCCTTCGCTTAATTCCGACACTTTTTCTTTCAAAAAACAATTAAAAAATTTAAAACGTAAACTTTTATCGAAGCAAACGTACACCACTTAAAAAATAGTCGCAAAGGTCAAATAGGTCAGCAATCGACTATAGGAAATGTGGAAATGTTAACCTCTTTTATTGAAATATTGAAATTCAACATACTATGTTCCACTTCAGGTTGGTCGAAAGTTCGTAAAACACACTTTAACCGTGTTCTTTCGTCAGAAATTTCGTTGTCCTAAATTTATTTGGCAAAGTTTTCTTTGGCAACAGACTAAACGAATATACGCTAACTGTCAAAATCCTAATGGTGTATTAATTGTATTAAAATAAAGCATGAAGTAAATATATACAGCGTTGCAAAACAACACGAACGATTGGTATCTTTTGTAAAAAAATGTTAAAAATACACCTTTGATTTATTTGTATAGCATTAAATTGGTATAAGATTAGTTTGTATCCAAAACTGTATATACGATTAACGAATACGACTATGTTGTTATATTCGCAGTCTACGCCAGTCAGGTGAGCCTCCTGCTCGTTTGCCCCTTTTCTCCATAAAAAAAAAACGCTATCAAACTATGAATTTGTTGTAAGTTCAATGTGTACGTGAGTCGGGTAAAATATTCCGCCGTCAATCTACAACATATTATGGAAGACAAAATGTAGCTAGACCTACAGTCTAGGTTATCGTACTCCTTTATAGTTAAAAATATTTTTGATAGATACTAAAAAAACGATATTATGAATAATAATATTAAATAAATTAAAAAAAACTTACCACCACTCAAGTGCTGCTGTTGAGCAATCGCCCTCTGAAAAGACAGAAAGAAAGAAATAAATAAACACAAAAAAAACAGAAAAGTAATAAAATTAAATAAATGATAAGTTAAAGGACAAGAATGATGAACATTTAACAATTTAGCAAACTATTTGCTTTTTGCTTTTTCATTATAAACTGGAAGTCGCATATACTAGCTGCTGCCCGCGACTACGTCTGCATAGAATAGGCTGAAGGCGACAGAAAGACAGATATACATAAAATATTTATATAAATTATATCCTGTCTTATTCTGATGTATAAGTTATATTATAAATTTTCATTAGAATTCATTCAGTAGTATTTGCGTGAAAGAGTAACAAACATCCATCCATACATACAAGCTTTCGCGTTTGTAATATTAGTAAGGATAATTTGACATTTCATTACATTTTAAATATAGTGAGTTATTATTTTCCGCTGACTGATTCAGTCAATCTGGAATTTTTAAAATACTTTGTTTAACTAGTTAATGTTGACATTATGGACTTAAACCATGAATGTTAGTTACATTTTATTGTACGCCCTTGTTACACATACTATATTATGAGTTTTCCCTTCCTGCACTTTTTCTCCGTATAAACAAACTATGCCAGACCTAAACTTGTCCGTAGTAGTTTCAGCTTCACGTGTTAAATAAAGAAAGAATATATGAAAATTTACTGAAAAATCTTCATACATATTTCAAAATATTTTTAAACTAAATGCATACTTGAGTTTATTTCATAAGAAGCTACTAAAAGAATATCTTTATTATTTTACCTATCGCGATTGTGCAACAACCGAAGAAAATTAAAAAAGGGATAAAACAAAGTGAGCCATGAACCAACGACGACCACGATTTTCTGAACCATGAGTCAATTTCATTCCAAATAGCACGATTTTTCATAAAGCTTGTACTTACAGAAGTGTTTTATACCGAACCCAATCGCAACCCTTACCTAAATAATTGGCAAATGCCATCCCTTTTACAAAATTTGTGCTAAATTTGGGGCACACGACCGTAACACAGTAAGCAGTTGCTGTGCAACAGCACAAGTTGAGCTAGCTTAATTGGTTGATGTAAGGAGAGAAAAGAGCTTCGAGAACTGAAATCTGCAAAAATGTGGTTTTTGGCATTGATTGAGTTAAAAGCAGAATAGTGCCCACAAGCTTAATTTTTTCTTTTGCGGTGACCTTGTTGAAGCGACGGGCGCGAGGAACGTTAAACATTGTGTACACCACGCGCCACCTTTCGCTACGGTACATCCGGTTGTTTTACACTCTTGCTTATGGAGAGCTGCCAGCTTGCAGGAGCGACCAAAGCAAAAACCTCTCATGGCGGCCACAGGGGATAGAACCAAAAGCTTCTCCAAGTCACCACCACGGTAATAGAATTGGCTACAACGCTAGAGTCCTCCGGTGAGAAACAAACCTGTCACAGATGTTAGGACACAAACTATATTCCATCTGAGTATGCTGACTTATAGTGGCGCAAACGGCAGTACCAGTAACATGCAGTGCACAATCCTAATGGGCCACGAGATTCGCACTACGCCGCGTACGAATTTTTTTTCCGACGGGGCAATAGACCCGACTTGTCAGTATCAGCGTTCAGCAGAAGGTAGAACAGAGATGCATCCTTAAAAGTCCAGAACCCGCGTAGTCTAAAGAGTCAACTGACATGTCATGTGCCGAAGCGACGTCGGGGTCAGATCTCCTCGCGTAATCAGTAAGTAGTACGTGAACAGTGCGACATAAGCGTGTGTAAATAAAGCTCCCCGAGATTCACGATATCTGCGGACGGGCCCATATAATAAAAGAATAATTTATGTTTGTTTCGCTATTACTACTCAATAAGGTCATTTGTAATGGGTAAATAACGTATGGCGCCATCACACAAAGATTAACATCCAATAGCAACAATGCAAGTATCTCAAAACTATAATAGATGGCGCTCTATCGATTCATGATTTCTTTTAAGTACGGTATCTCCTTTTTTTTTTTCAGAAAAGATTCCAAAATATATAAACTTTAAAAGCTACACCTCATGAAAGTCCAAAATTCGATAATTTCCGAGATACAAGTGATTTTATGCTGCTAAAGCTGATGAGGACATGCACAAGTTCAGGGTAAGTAGAACTCTAAGTTCAGGGCAGATAGATGAGTAGTTATTTATAGAATTAATTGTATTATTGTATTTAATAAACTAAGAATCATTTAATAAATCAAATATCAATAAAATTAAGGACTTTGAAGGCAAACGATAGATACAAATGCATAGCTTTCAATATCTTCAAGGATTTTATTATTGAATTTAATAGACTAAGAATAATTTAATAAATCAAATATCGATAAAATTAAAGACTGAACGCAAGCGATACAAATGAATAGCTTATAATATCTTCAAGGATTTAGTGAAAGTATTAAGTTTTATAAGCCACATATAGCTTAACTACTGCTGCCCGCGACTACGTCTGCGTAGAATAGGCTGAAGGCGTAACATTCAGACAGAAAGATACATATACATAAAAATATGTATATAAATTATTGCCTATGTTTTATTCTGATGTATAAGCTACATTATTGTAAAGTTTCATTAAAATCCATTAAGTAGTTTGCGTGAAAGAGTAACTAACATCCATACATACAAACTTTCGCCTTTATAATATTAGTAAGGACTTTTTCAGTAAATCCTTGAATAACCAATACAATCTATGATCTATTTTTTTTAAATAATGTCAATAATACCTTACCCACATATTTCAAAGAATTGAATTATTTTTTAACACAAAAATCATAACAAAATACCACAAATATTAAACATTATAATTTGATTATAAATATTGATTATTTTTTAAATACTAATGTCATTAGAAAAATATGTTATTTATGCCTTTTTTCATTATTATTTTAATTTTTTGTTATGACTTAAAATTATTATTTTTTATAAATAAAAAATTTTTATAGTGCTATTTTCTGTAGGTACTTAAGAGTTTTCCTACAAATTTTAAGAATTATTTTTATGTTAAATGTATAAAAATGGCTGATTTGTAAAAAAAAGCCTTTTGAAGAGAAGTTGCGGCAATTTGCGGCGGTTTGAAAATAGTGACGAACCCTAACAATTTTAGCCTACTTTCTTATGCACAAGAACAAAAATAAATTGATTAAGAAATCAACTTCTATTCGACGTAAAAAAATCAACCGTAAGAAAATAGAAAAACCGTAATGTAGTACCTACTTATACATTATAGTTATTATATTTGGTCATGTTAAATATTAACTATAAACTAATTAAAAAATTAAATCAAAATTGGTACATAAAAACCCAATGCGTGTAAAACATTAACTATTAAAATAAACAAATTATAACAAAAATAATATTTTTGCTCGAGGGCACTGAGGTCCTAATTTTTTTTTTCAGGTCACCATTTAAGAACTATTTACACGTGAATAAACTAACCCAGTAACTTTTAGTACCAACCCCACCCTGTTTAAAAAAATATATAAAAGAACATGATAAGGTTTAGTTATCCTTCCCAGTAGAGGCTTGTCTATCATTCACCAGCGTATTATTAAAACTCAGATAACAATAAATCAAGAACTAGAAAAAGTAAAGCTGGCTAACAGAAACTGAAAGTTATGAGATACCAGAATATATCGAATAAGGATAATGGTTATCCAAAAATGAAAACCTTGCGGAAAATTTTCTCCGCACTCCAAAGTTTCAACTGAAAGCTAAACTCAGATGCGTAAAAATTCAGCTAAGATTCGTGTACAATAAATAAACATTTAATAATATGGGCGATTCTTTAGTGGGAGACATCACAACCGTTTGCTGAAGATCATAGAAAATTTCTTAAAATGAAAATAGATTAGAAGCATCTTCACTTGCCTAGCTGTTGCGGCCAAAGTACCTCGAATAACTCTAACAAGATTGCTAAAGAATTTTAATTATGTTTAAGCGCAATACCCTCATTAAACTAAATCATAACTTTACATAATATGATGTGCAGTTAGAAAATCTGAACTTCTAATTATAGAACTTCGAAGAAGAAGAAAAGAAACTAGATGTAATCCCACTTCCCTCCACGCGTTGCAGAGCCTGCTTCGCTGGGCCTTATTTTATATAAACAATAAAATTATCCTTTTGACCTATACGGGTTAAAATAGCTTTCGTAGTAAGTGACAAGCACCGTATACGATCAGGTAACACCGTACGGTTGAATCAGCAATCAAGCGACCAAATTAGACAAAGTGAATTAAGGAAATTTTTTGCACTGGGGATATTTTTATTGCGTACTCTATCACGCAAAGAACAGTGATATATCAAGTCCTAGTTTCATGGGCCAACAATGACAAAACACATTTATTAGAGACATTAGTCATCAAAAACAATTTCTTATTATTTCCGAGTATATCAATATTGGAGTCAAGATTACAGAGCATAAAAGTAAAGTAACAGCCTATACATGTCCCACTGCTGGGCAAAGGCCTCCACTATACAGAGGGGATCAGGGCATAGTCCACCACGCGGCTCCACTGCGGATTGGCGGACTTCACATATTTTCGAAATACATTTTTTTTGTTATTATTTCGAAAATATGAGGGTTTCCTCACCATGTTTTCCTTCACCGCGGAGCACGCGATAAGTCAGCACTTAAAGTTAAAAACTTCATTGGTGCCGGCACCGGGGATCGAACTCAGGTTGCTCGAGTATATATTGAATTAAGGCGAGCGCCCGGACACTGAGCTATCACGGCTCATTACAGAGCATACGCAGACAAAAAATCTGCCAACATTGGAAAACTTTTGTGTCAAATTTTTTCTCGTGTCCCGCTTAAGCTATTAAAAATGATAACAGTAATTTAATAATAAGTTGAACATATCGAGATCTCAATTGTAGTTGAATTCATAAGCTGATGTGGAAAATTAAATCACAACGGTTTTAACACATTTCGAAATATTAAAATAACAATCGCACAAGTACATTTCAGACTGTCGATATGTTAATAG